TAAATTATCTAAACCCTGTATGATGTTCCACATACTCCTTTAAGACAGAACAAAAGCAAACTGGTGCTTAGTCTTTTCTATTATGTTGGCACATTGAGGCTCAAGGACTAGAAAAAGACTGAGCTAATACAGATAGGGATAGGGGTCTAGCAACCCAACTAAATCAAAGCAAACAAGTGGTTATAATATACAAGAGAAATACCAGTTGCAGGAGTGCAGAAAAACTCCGAGCCACATCATACTTTTCCTGACCTTTTACAACATCAGCGAAAGACAAGACATCTCCATTGTCTGGTTCAAAGGATAGGCTGTGGAGAATTCTTTCGCCATAGTCATGAATATCAAAAGCAGGGTGTAATTCCTATGAAAAACATATCATTGCTTTAACATAGACAAAAAACAAGAAGAAAGCAGGTAATACAACTAGTGACTGTTCTGATTTATTATTTTTTTGGGGAAAGTTTTGACAAAGCAAGGAAGCAAAACAGATGGAACCTACTTGCTCTTCCAAGTTGTGCTCAATTTTCTGTTTCCATGTTGAAACACGCGTAGCCAGTTCAGTTTGTTTCTCGGTTTCAGCTATGCTAGCAAGGAGAGCGTCCTACATAAAGAAACATTGGCAGCCAACCAAAAAAATTGCAGGTAATTACCAAGTTATAGAAACTAAAAAATTTAGCCAAAAAGGGGAAAGAAAAATGGAAAATATAACATGAGAAGAAACACCAAATTGCCAGCAAAGAAATATGGACCAGGCTCTTTCTTCCATGACCTAATCATCTGAAATGCCTTAAAAAGCATTGATGTGTCTTCTAAGGGACATTTTTTTTTCACAGTATATACTTACTAAGTGAGAGCGACATAAATCTTCCAGGCTTGCATGAGGATTTGAATTGTCGTATCCAAATGCTTCATCAGTACCAAACTGTGGACCACCATCCTCAAACTGTAGAATATCAATGCATAAGCAATTCAAAAATGTTCCCAGTTGATTTTGAGCCATGCAATAATCAATTAGCTGCTCAGTCTAACCTTGTCATTGTATGGAGGTACATTTTCATCCATGAACAAAGGTTCCGGCATGTCAGCATCCGTATGCCCAAAATCAGGGATCTCATTATCGTATTCAGTATCCTCATTTGCACCCATAGGATTGCAGAAGGCATCAAAGGTTTCATGTCTTCCATTAATAAGTGATTCCCGCAGCTGCAATTAAGAAAGCAGGTTCACTAAGAAACAAAAAAAGACAAATTTCTAAATAAACCTGTGCATCACAAACCTTTTCAAATAATGGAGGAGACTGGGACCCCTTTTGTCTTTCGTCGGCACGACGTTGCATCTCCCACATTTCGGTAAGCTCTGGACTAATAGTACCATGCAACTTTGCAGGTGGAAATAGTGTAATCATAGAGACCTGCTTAGTAGAACTAACCCCTTTCCTGTTAGAAGCTTTGACTGCTAGAGGAAAACACAACGAAACAGAAGCATGGCGTTAGGTACTTAAAATATTATAAGTGTAACTTAGCAAGCTAAAGAAACAAACACTTGAAAACAACCTTTTCTAAAAGGTTTCACTTTCAAGTTCCCAGGTTCATGGGGATTCAAAGGCTTCCATGGATCATCTTCATCATCTGATTCATCCAAGTCCCTGGGCTCTGAATATCCATCATCCATATCAAATCCATGAGCACCATCATCAAAATCATCGCTGGCGGGAGGGTCGGGCCCAATATTACAATTTTTGGCCTCAAAGCTGCAACCAACCCCAGGGGTTTGATTAACATTAGGATCCTGGCATTTCTGGAGAGATGACCTACACGCAGTTCCACCTGAACGTCTTGTAGGTGACTGATAACTTTTTCGCGTTGAGGTGGCCCTATAAGCACTATTTTGTCCTTTACCAGCTCCATCCGCACTAAAATAATCATGCACTGCTACTGCATCGCATGGATCTAATAAAATGAAATCCTGGTAGAGATCGTTGGTGGCCAGCTGCAAATACAATTTTTATGACCAAACCAATTAGATACGTATATTTAGAAAATGACCCCAAAAAAATTTATTGAATGGAAGAAACTATGGTACCAGATATGACTCTAATTCTCCGAAATCACCAGTAGTATCTAAGCAATCACCTTCAAGTACAACTAGATTTGCTGGGGGCTTCACAAAGGAATTTAAAGGAGCATCTATGCCGACTGGACTATCTAAACAATTCTTTCCTTCCACTGCAAGAAAAATTGATATCAGTGGGTGATTGCAGCACAATACCCCCATAATGAAATAAACAGTAATGGCTACCTGAGATGTCATCTAAGTCCCAGAACATATCCTTTTCTTCATCAGAAACAGCATGGGAACTTTCACCTTCCTCGGGCCGAACTGATGTGCCTTCAGATTGTTCATGCTGCCTATTTAAAAGTGACAGTAAAACAATAAAAATAACAAGAGATATCTATATTTATAAGCATATTTTATTGTGTAACGTAGTTCACTTATGCCCAAATTGATGAGTCATCATCATCATCACAATCATTACGTTTTCCTAGGAGTCGAAACTTTAGACACAACACAAACTATCAACACAAAATTAATGAATTAGCTTGATTATTACAAGACACAACACAACTTGATTGCCACCCCTATCTTTTCCTTTGTTCCAAATACATAAGGTCAGCCATATGAATGTCTTCAATTCCTTTCTCTTATATCCAGTGTCTCCTGTATTATATATATTCATATTGCTCCTTCCCATGTTAGTCCTATTCAGCCCCTTGTTCATTTTTACCTTCTACTTTAACTTGCCTTATTTGGCTATAGGTGAATCTAGTGACCTATGTTATATATTCTCAGAGCACCCAAACCAACTTCTCTTCTCTTATCGCAAATAGATGTGACTCCCAATCTTTACCTAATTAATTCCTTTTCGAAAAGTTGATGAGATATGATAATCAACCATATTGAAAAACTTAGCCAAGTTTAAAGTATAGATTTCAGAACCTTGAGACCATTATTAACTCAAACACTCCAAAAGCAAGCTAGCAACTTAGGACAGAAGTCAAGCGAGGCAGCAACTAGCTGGCAACTAAAATCTATCGGTCTAAGTTATAATAAAGGGAACTTCAACAGAAATGATTTCGTTATGAAAAATGAATACACCCACAAACACATATTTGGTTGCATATAGACATAAAGTACAAATCTTTATTAACTTTTGGAAAAATAACAACACCCACAAAGTATAAAAAATAAATAGTTTTAAAGAAATTTACAATAAATTCCCAAAATAAATTATTAAGGAGAGAAAGAAAAACCAACCCCTTCTGTGAAAGGAACTCCAAAGCACGCAAAACTAACGAGTACAGATATTCCACCTTCCGACTATACACTTGGATCGAACCCTGAAGCAACAGCGCAGCTACATCCAACCACAATTATCACAAACAATTCCGAAAATAAAAAACTAAAATTTAAATATTGAAAAAAAAAAACCAGTAGTTTCAAATAAAAGGAATACCTTCGGCGAAATTAATAGCGACATGGCCTTCGGCTTCGGTGGGTATTTCACCGGAGCAAATCTTCAGCAAATACTCTTCGAGTTTTTGTCCGAGGTCGAGTTCCCAATTGGATTCTAGGTCACGCTCTGCCTGCAATCTATGAAATCCGCCCCCGCCACCACCATTTACGCTTCCGCTCGGTTCGCCTCTGGCGTTAGTCATCTTCTGTAAGTTGAATTGGGAATTGGCGCATTATGTAGGTGCTGGAGTCACATTTGGTGAAGTCTAGGGTTTTCAATTTGGGAGATTTCAGAAAGTGATAATTTTTCAATGTTACCGGAAACTTGAACTGGCAGTGTGAAAGACTGAAAGTCAAAGACTTTCACTCAGTCTGCAATTCGTGAGCTTGGTTTGGGCAGCGAGAGACAGAGATAGAGCAAGAACAGGGCAAGAGAGAGAGAGGAGAAGGAGAGAGAAAGAGAGAGTGAGTTTCAAAAAATTTCGATGGCCGTTTTCCCGCTTCCTTGTAATTGTAGTGGTTTTTTTGTTTTTTGTTTTTTTTCGTATTTGGGATCTGACTTTGTCCCTTTTTGTTGGTTGCTATATTAAAGTTGGTTGGTATTTATTTAGTTATATATATATATATATGTTTTCTATATTAGCAATATTGAATATTGGAAATTCGAATACATGAGTTCAGGTGAAGGGTAACTACTCGAAATCACTTAAGCTACAACTTACAAAACTCTTATGCAATGAGATTTAAATGTGAGCAACTAAATCACATTTACATCTTCGTTTACATTTTTATAAAATAAATTTGACAAAAACATCATAAGGCGCCACTAAAAAGTTAAAGTATGGCATCTTGCATATAAGAAGTCTCATGTTTGAATTCTCATTGCATCTTGATTGTGTGTGTGTGAGAAATCACCTCCCCTAATTTAGACTATCGCTTGTACTAATTTTTATTTATTTAAAAAGTATGGCACTACTTTTTGTTCCACGTCATAATTACTCAAGTTATATATACATGAAAATTTAAGTACAACGGGATGAAATTGTGAAAATGACAGTTGTTTATGAGGGAATCAATAATATTATTTGTACCACATTTATTGAGTACGTTGTTGATCATCTCTAATAAAGGTGAGCCCTAGTAATGCATATGAGACCCGTCTATATTCAGTGGCAAAGCCACCTAAGGACCAAAGTGGGCCCATGCCCCTCTCATATTGTTTATTTATTTATTTATCAGATTTTTACTTATATGTGTATATCAATGTTGTTTTTTTTTTAGTGCCTCTCAAGCTAGTGAAATTGTTGGATGACGACCACAAATGTCCTAGAACTCTTTCTATACATTTTGTTTAGTTACTAGCAAAGATGCCCGCGCGATGCTGCAGGTTATAAAACCGTTTGAAATATGTACAAAATTATGAAAATATGTAGGAAGTTTAAGTTAGAAAATAAAGACTAATAACATGTTTTATATATTGCTTGTCATATTAAAATATTGATTATATTTTATTAAACCAAGTAGCAATCAAAATATCAACAATGGAGGTGCTCCTTGTTCAAAAGAGTTTGGACATGTCTTTACATATATGCTATTGGTGGGGGAAGCGGCTTTTTCTGCCTTGATGTCTGTTGAAAGGGGATCTATCTAGGAATCTGTCTCTTGTTGGCTCTACTGTAGAAGTGGTTTCTATTTTTCCTCGTCTTCTGCAGGGTTTTAACTCTGTTGGTACAAATTCAGAAAATGGTAGGTGTTAATGTAGATAAATGAAAAAAATTGAGTGAAGTCAATAACTATTATCACATAATTAATATCAACAGGACAAACAACAGTTTAGATACATCAAGCATTCTATTAACAGTGAGAAATTAATGTTCAAGCAAATACGTAGGTTAAAATCAAGTTTGTAACAAATTATTAAAAATGGTATAATAGCAGTTGGCTATGAACAAATTTAAAAGAAAATTCCAAAAAAAAGGATGAAATACCAAACTTTCATTGAAATCAAGAACACAAATAAAACATTTTGAACAAAAATTTAATTACTTTGAGCATAATATTTAGGGAAAATAAGTGAACAAAAATAAGGAGAAAAAAAAAGATAACCTTTTTCAACCTTGTCTAGCCTGCAAAGAACCTCCTTCTACTCATAGCCTCTTCTTGTTTCTCTTGTACACTGTTAACATTTTGCAAAAATTGAAAAGCCACAAAAAGAAAATAAATGAAAATCACCAACCTCAACAAAAAACACCAAATGAACTAATGCTTTCTAATTGAACACATTCTAGTCCATAAAAGCCAAGAAAAATGTCAAATTATGACCAAATAAATCCTGCATATTTTCCTTATGACAGAATATTAGGAAACAAAACAATCGCTTTACCTATTAAGCATTTTGTGGAAGGCATTGAAATGAATGAGATCTAAATCACACAGAGTTCTATCAATATCAAATAGCACTGCTTCAAGTGGAGCGAGTCCAGAAAGTACTTTTGCTGGTTCTAGAGACACATCATAGAAGGAAAAAAAAAAAGGCAATGAGGCCTTAGTATAACAAAAGAAAGAAACCAAAAAAAATACAAATGTAACATTTGCACCACCTGTTTCTCTGTAATTGATCTTTCATCTTTTTATTGCTCAATTCGTACGCAACATGAGATGATACCGAACATATATATACTTTTGAATAATTGTGATAATTTATTTAATTGCTTTGGGCATAATATTCAGGAAGAATAAGTGAACAAAAAGGGTCTAACAAAAGCAGGAAAAATAAAATAAAATAAAAACTATTTTCAACCTTGTCTAGCCTGCAAAGAACTGCCTTCTATTCACAGCCTCCTCTTGATGCTCTCATACACTATTACCATCTTGCAAAAACTGAAACTCTACAAAATGAAAATGATCACAATCTCAGTTAAAAACATCAAATGAACACTTTGTACTCTATTGCTAAACCCAATAAAAAGGCTCAAAAAAAGGATGAAATACCAAACTTTCATTGAAATCAAGAACACAAATAAAACATTTTGGAAAAAAATTTAATTACTTTGAGCATAATATTTAGGGAAAATAAGTGAACAAAAATAGTGAGAAAAAAAAAAAAAACCTTTTTCAACCTTGTCTAGCCTGCAAAGAACCTCCTTCTACTCATAGCCTCTTCTTGATTCTCTTGTACACTGTTAACATTTTGCAAAAATTGAAAAGCCACAAAAAGAAAATAAATGAAAATCACCAACCTCAACAAAAAACACCAAATGAACTAATGCTTTCTAATTGAACACATTCTAGTCCATAAAAGCCAAGAAAAATGTCAAATTATGACCAAATAAATCCTGCATATTTTCCTTATGACAGAATATTAGGAAACAAAACAATCGCTTTACCTATTAAGCATTTTGTGGAAGGCATTGAAATGAATGAGATCTAAATCACACAGAGTTCTATCAATATCAAATAGCACTGCTTCAAGTGGAGCGAGTCCAGAAAGTACTTTTGCTGGTTCTAGAGACACATCATAGAAGGAAAATAAAATAAAATAAAAACTATTTTCAACCTTGTCTAGCCTGCAAAGAACTGCCTTCTATTCACAGCCTCCTCTTGATGCTCTCATACACTATTACCATCTTGCAAAAACTGAAACTCTACAAAATGAAAATGATCACAATCTCAGTTAAAAACATCAAATGAACACTTTGTACTCTATTGCTAAACCCAATAAAAAGGCTACATAATGCATAACCGCTATTTCTTAATCTGGGCTCTCCATATACATATAGTTCACAAATTTAAGCAAGAGAAAAGAACTGTAAATCTGTTTGAAACTGAAAAAGAAAAGAAAACAAATCATCCTTGCACATAAGAATAAGAAAAGAAACAGTGCAACAAAAATATGGCAAAATATTTAATCCCTTGAGCATAAACTCAATTTAGTTTACGAAGATAGACGTCTTCTTGAAGAATAGAACCAAGCACTTGATTCAAAATACCCTTTAAAAAGTATTTAAATATGCTACTACATTATTTACACGTCATCGATAAACAGATCATTAAGTAAAAAAAAAACAATAATTGGAAGAGCAAAAAGCACAGAGTAAAACAAATTTCAGTACAAATATTCCACTGAATAGCAAATTTTTTCATGTCTTTAAGTAATCATAAAGGCAAAAGTAATAGAAATGTTTTTTTTGTACATGGCATACAACTCTCATAGATGCAGAAACCATTTTGATGCATTCAAATTTACCTCACTTTTTTGCACTCTTAGACAAATCCGAACCCCAATTTGTTCATCTCCATTTACCTAATCAGTATAAAAGCACATTCTATGAGCAAACAATATAGATCAAACTCTATTAGATGACCCATAGAGATAAATATACTCATTTATCAAATAGCTGTCATGCAATGAGAAACAATGGCTATTGTTCTTACAGACTTTATCTTCCTTGTAGAACATATTTCTCTCCGAACTGTGGCAAAGAATTTTAATGCAATTCCTCCAGATGTCACTTGTGGAGTAGCATAGTATACACCAATCTTGCAAAATGAACAAATGATGCTATTAGTTTCTGGAAGTGAAAGAATTGTCATTAGGGGAAAATAACTAATAAAGAAACCTGAAGGAGTAATCAAAATCATATACACCTGAAAAATTAATGACTCAAATTCAGCTGCTTCGACCTAGGCACTCAAATCTCAATTACTGCAACGGACCCAGTATAGGTCATCATAAATATCTGAAAACTTTAAGGTTCAAAGTCAGCTGCTAAGATACAGGCACTCAATCTCAATTGTTTCAATGAATCCAAATACATACCATCCATTTAGCTGGTTAGCTCATACTTTAAAATCACACCCCAAATCCTTCAGTTGCTTTTCATAGTGAAAGGAACCAACCCAAAAACCAGGCAATAACCGCATTGGAGGGAAGCCTAAGGTTTCACATCCAACTTTTTCATAATGCACGTTGAATTTGGGCTTCCATTCCCAAAAGCAACTACTTACTGGCACATCCAATTCGCCTTTGGATTCATCTGGTAGACCAGGAATTGAAACTTTAGTTACTGGTTCCCCTGTTTCTGAAATACTTTCATCCTCTTCCCCTCCAATTACGTAGCCATCAGAGCTTCCAGTTGATAAAATTGGACCAACATGTTTCAAGTTTTCACCGGTGTTTAATGACCTAAAACCTCCTTGGTTATTTAGTTGCTTCAAGAACACCCAAAAGATTCAACAACATACTCAGAGATTAGAAGGTTTAGGGTTAGAAAGCTCATTTTTTTATTATCAAACAACATAATTGATAAACCCAAATAATTCCCAATTTCTATTTTGTCGAAACCTGATTAATCTCCACTTCTTTTTTCCTTGTGTTTTATCATTAATTTTTTTCTCCATATTTAGGATACAGCAACCAAGAGCAGATAAAAAAAGGGATTTTTTTTTTTTAAAAGCACGCTTGGTCTTTGCTTTCCAGTGTTTTATCGGCAACCAAAACAAAAATTAGGAATGATTTCCATTCTAAGATTTCTCCAAGAGAGCAAAGTCATTGAATCGATAATTGATTAAAAAAATTAATAATAAGAACGATGGAAATACCTAAGCTAATATGTGAGATTCAATCCCCTTCTTGATAGAACCCAAGGGAGTCGGAAAGTGAGCAGCTTGGAAGATCGGAGGAAGATCAGAGCAATGAAAAAGAAGAAGGCAAGGAAGTCGGTGAACAATGAAGAACCAACAGTCGAAGCCTACAGATGTAAAACATTCGAAGCCTCTAGGGCCGTTTGGTTCACGGAATGAATTTGATGGGAAATCATTTCCCATGTCATTTCCCAAGGGATGGAAAATGTTGATTCCTTTCCCATGTTTGGTAATGCCGGGAAAGTGATCCGGAAATATCACTTTATTTCCTTTCCCATGTTTGTTTTGAGTAGGAATGGAAAACAAATTTTGTTTAGTTTCCTAATTGTACCCCTATTAAAAAAAAAAAGAATACCAATAATTGTTGGATAAAAATTGTAATTATGAATTGTTAGTAAGGACAAATTAGTCAAAAAAAATTGTATTTAATGCTAGTTTTACTTTCCCATGGGAAGGGAAAGTGAAACCCAAGGAGGAAGGAAGGATTCACTTTCCCTCCTACTTTCCCATGTGCTAGGAATCGCTTTCCCATGCCTGACTTACCAAACATGGGAAAGGAATTGATTTCCCATGCCCAAGATTCCTTTCCCATGAACCAAACGCAGCCTAAAGGTATTTCTTATCTAATACTTGTTTCCCCCGAGCACACAATGGCCCATGAATAGTTTTAGAACTTAATCTAGTGAATAGTTGACGAAGTCTTTTCGGGAAAACACAAAACAATCAGCCAAGGGCAAAACCGGGATTCTTCTGTGCAGGGGGAAAAAGAAACTGGTTAAACAGTGAACGGGGGTCTTTTATGTCAGTTCACTGTTCAAAAAACAGTGCTTATGAATAGTATCTAGTTGCATTGGGCTTTAGTATATATATAATTTGCCCTTTTCTATATGTTCAAGCTTGTAAAATAGAAAGTTAAGAGAACATTTTTATGCAAATTAACATAACAAAACCTTCAACATTTCTCTTAGTGTTCCGATTTTATACTAAGTCTTCTTTCATATGTGTTTTTTTAACTGAATTTCTTTCATATGACCTAACATGCCCTTATTGACATGAATTTCTGGCTCTGTCATTGCCTATAATAAAGAGGTGGTTTGCAATGCAATTAATAAATGTGGTACAAATAGCAATACTCATAGATAATAATGCAATTTTTAAATCGAAATATATTCCTTACTTATTGGTGAACTAAAACCATAATAAACAAATATATATAATAATAAATTAAAAGACAAAGATCAGAAATGAAAAATTAGAAGAATTGAGTGTATTATTTCTTCTCATAAAGCCTATTTGTAGGCTCTCGGAAGACCATTGATTTAAACATCTAAGGCCTCCTAGTTTACATACAAGAAAACTCTTTTATACACACAATTAAACGTATAAGGGCCCCAACGTTGAAGTATTAAAAATATAAAAAAAAAAGAGGCCACTAACTGTTTGTCTAAATGCCTAAACGGAAACCATGCCAGCAACGTAAGGCACTCCGCTGGGCTTTATCCACCTATCACCCTCCATGAGCCTACCGGCGGTGAAATCCACTGCGTGTTGAGGAGTAAGCTTCTTGATGCCGGACCATGTGACCCTCCGTGTCATGTCCGAGCCGGGCCCTCTGTTGCCGTACTCACCAAACCAGCAACTTTTGTGATTCGTCGAGCCTGTCCACTCCATCCACCCTTCCGGAGTGATGATGTCATCAATCTGTGATTGCATGACGATGGTCCTGGCCAGGGCCTTCCACGGCCTGCCCAGGTACGCCTTGCTCTTATCTTTGACAGGAATGTACTCCGGATCCCCGGAGATGGTGCAGTTTTGGAGGACCATGGCCGTGGGCTGGCGCCTGTCCATCCTTCCTTGGGCTGTCACCATGCAAGCCTGGTTGTCCATCGGCTTCCTCACTATCATCTTGCAGTTTTGGAACACCACAGCCGCATCGCCGAAGATGAAGTCGATGGTGCCGCTGATGGTGCAGTCGCGGTAGAATTGCCGGTGGGTTTGGGTGTAGAGGGTGTCTTGGTAGCCGTCCATTTGGCAGTTGTAGAAGATGGACAAGTCGGATTGCACCCGCAGAGCCACGGCTTGGTGCCCTTTGGCTCCTGCTGAGTTCTCAAACCCCATGTCCTTGGCAACGAAATAGTCCCCAACTACGGCTGCATAATGTTGACTCGTTAACTCGTTAGCAATTTAGCATTGTCACACTTCAAAATATATGTCAGAGTCATAATAATATCACAAATCATATATAGCTTGTTAATATAATGTTCATGTTTCTATGTCCTTTCCAATGTGAAATTGTACGTAACTGTCATAATTCTAATTATTTCCTCATTCATATAACTATAACATGTCGTGTCACATATATAATAATAATAATAATAATAATAATAATAATAATAATAATAAATTTAGTAATTAGGACTTACCAACTGTTGCAGTCTGAAAAGTTTTCGTTCCGTCAGCGTAGTTTTTGTTACCGGTGACCTTGGTCTTAGTTGGGCCATCCCCAATCATCATGACATTTGTCATAAACTTGTCAATCATAACGTACTCATTGTACACTCCCTCCTTCACATAAATCACAAACGTCTTATCGGCGTTGTTCTTGGGTATTTGCTTCACAGCTTCCCCAATACTCTTGACCTGCCCGCTCCCGTCCCTCGCCACCGTCACGTCTGGCCTAAGCGACTGCGGGGTCGCCCTTGACACATCCATCGCGCGCTTGTCGATCCACACAGGAATAACCTTCGGAGTGTCCTTCTTTGTGCCGCCTCCGGCCCCGGCCGCCAGCAAACGACGTTGGCTTTGTTTCACATTGAAGTTGCCCAAAACACTAGTGATTTCGGACACCATGGCAAGCCCATTGCTGGTGAGTTCCTGCGTGGAGTTCAACAAACGCTTCATCTTCTCACCGGCGTCGCCTGTTGTGTTCTGAAACCCGTCCAAGCAAGTCTGCTCGTACGTCATGGCGGCGCTGAGCCAGATCTTGCGATCTTCAGAGTAAGCGTCGATCTTGGAGATATCAAAAGGACCCAGCTTGTCGAAAGAAGCAGCGAGGTCGCCAATGGCGTAGTCCAAGAGCTCCTTGCAATTCTCAAGGGCTTGGTTTGCGCCGGGGTCCTTTGCAAGCTCTTGCAATGTAGTTGAGTTTTTTATGACCTCGTGGAGTTTGTCCATGGCGACCTTGAAACCGGCCTTGATAAGCTCTTTTGGTTCGGTGCTGTTGCCCCCAGCAGATTCCAGGCTCTTCTGGCAGGTTTCCTTGTAATCCGTCGGCTGGCAAATGGCCTGAATCGCCTTTGTCGACGTGGTGGTCTGGCCATCGTTGGATTTCGAACCTCCTCCTTTGCTCCGTGACGTGGTGACCCCGACCGTGACGGCGATCACCATGGCTACTAGAAACAAGGAGGAGACGGCGATAATGGCGATCTTCTTCTTCTTATTGTTATCACCGTTCATGTTGAGGAAATCAAATTTTGCAGCTCTTTGATAATGGAATTGAAACACTCTAGCTACTTCTTTTTCATGTAAGGTATATCTTTTGTTATTTTTTTTTTTTATAGTGGATGGGAGTTCATTTTTGTTTTTTTGATAGCGGCAGGTAATTCGGTTAGGAAACCTGGGGTGGGAGAGTCCCTAGTCACGACAAAATCAGGGGTCCATAATGTTCTCCAAATTTGGAGGCCTCCAAATTAATTAAGCTAAATGTAGAAACTTACGAATGGATAATGGATATAGAGATATATGCTTTAGAGTGGCTAGCTCCTTCAATCGTGGACTACCATTGACTATTGGAAATGTTACATATATCTTACGGAATTGTGAAATTACTAATATTAAACTAAAGCTTTGTTGTTTAATGGCTTAATTATATTATTAATTCTCTAATCTTATTTTTATGCTTAGAATTCTTTGTATGTTGACAGCTTCCATTATAATCTAGCTATTTATGGTTTAAGATCATGTATATTTTCTTGATTATATGCAATTTGATATGTTATATTGTCAAAAATGGGAGACTTAATTGAACGTAATTTTCCTACTGTATATTGGAAATATTTTTGCTAACCACTTTAACCCAAGGTGTACCCTCACCACCCTTCTCAACACTTGACATGTGTCCCTTGACATAACCATAGTTAATTCTATACTTTGTATTTATGCAACCATGATTATGTCAAGAGACACGTGTCAAATGTTGAGAATGGTGATGAGGGTACAACTTGGGTTAAAATGGTGACCCTAAATGTTGAGAAAGAATCACATTACTCTTTTGGTCGAATGTATTTGGTACAGTAACTTACCGTTGGATGTAATGCTTAAGTTGAAATTTGACTTATATAATTATAAGATTCTTAGATGATCTTTTTTGTTATTGTATTTTGTTTAAATAAAAAAAAAAGTATAGAAAAAGGGAATGTCTAGGCTGGGCTTGCCCTAGTGCAAGAATTTGAAAACAAGAGATTTAGTGCTAATTTTTAGGTCATTCATCCAAAAATTAGCCTGATCCACCCTATTCCAACAAAAATGAGCCTAACCACTCTTTGCATGTTCATGCGCGTGGGGAAGTCAGGAATTGGAATCATTCCAATATCCATGTGTATGTGTTATAAGCAGGAATTGGAATTGTTTGTACAATATCTGGCTAAGCACTCCCAAACACTCCCAAGTCAAAGGGAAGGGAGTCCCACATCGACAAAACACAAGAGGAGTGGACTCTCCCTTCTTTATAAAAGGAGACCTCTCCCCTTCAAGAAAGGGAGGAGAGAGTCGGAGCAGGCTACTGGGGCCCCATGGGTTTACCCATGAGCCCATTTACAAGCCCACGGATCATCGGCCATCAGCCAGATCCTCAGCTTTCGGCCTTCAGCATCTGCCTTCAACCTTCGGTATTCTTCCTTTTCCCCTTGAGTCTAACCCTATGTACAATGTATACACACATTATCATAATGAAAACATACTTCTCCGTGGACGTAGCCCATCATTCGGGTGAACCACGTACATTTGTCTTCTGTATGCATGTCCATTTACTTACCGAATGCTCTTACATACTGAGAGTCCTCACCTTTAACATCCACCTCATCTTTAAGTTGGCCTACTTACTACATGCCTAGTTTTAGCGCCAACATGAATCATCCCAATACCCATGTGTTAGAAGCAGGAATTGAAATCATTCCAATATCCATTCCTGAAAAGTAAACATGCCATAAGTGTAATAATCCTTTCATCTTCTTCAGTTTAAATATATTAGCGAAAAAAGGGAGAAATCGATAGGTTATGAAGGAATGACTGAAAAGAGAGAGTAACAGAGCTTAATAATTTTTATGAACCGAAAAACAGGAATGGAGGAGAGGGATTTTACAAAGGGTTTTTTTCCCTAAGTCCATAGAAGTCATTTTACGAAGGGTAATATTTGTCCTTAAAATTTTGAAGATAAGGTGAGTGGGGAAATAGGACAAGGGTTGAAAATAGCAGCAATTTATTAGGTGTAAGAAAGTTGCCCATCGGTTCAAATTTTGTAATGTCATGTGTTTTATTTAGAATGTCTTAAAGAATTGGAGTTTGATGAGATTTTATTCAATTGAAGTATAGAAAGAAAGAGGTGGTATACATACCGTACGTAGAAGGAAAACTTAAGAGTAAATTAGTTAAATACCCATTCCTAGACATAAAACTATAAATAAACCCTACACTATTTAATGTATATAAACACACCCAAAATAAACCCAAAAATCGACAACTGTCGATTTTTTCAATTCAACAGTTATATTGGATTACGATTTTGCCCTTTTGCAATTTTGAGAAACAACCGACTTAATTTTTTTTTAATCTTTTATTTAATAACAATTATGTTGCAGATTGAAGAGGAATAAGAAGAAGAAGAGCATCGACCATGGCGATGCATGCGCTCATGACTCGTGGAGCAGCTTGTGTGGCTCCAGGCTCATCTTCTTCCGCCAATCCTTTCGATGCTCTAGGCAACACTTTTATCAGTTCTTCTCCCAAGACTTAGGTTTTTGTCATCTTCCTCGTTACTTCTTTCACTTTCAATTTCTCTTCTCCATTTTGAATTTTCAATCCTCAACGACGTCATTTTCTCAGGCTTTCGTTTGATTCACGAGAAAGACGCCCATACTTTTGAGCCGTAATTTTATCCAGACGCTCATGGCCACATGCTGCAACAGATCTGAGAGAAGGCTCACAAAGATGAGCTTAAGAAGAACGAAGAGACCATTTCAAGGTCAGCCGAATCATATTGTTATGATTCGGTTTGATTATCGTCGAAATTCGAAGCTCGTTGAGCAGTTTCTTTGCGATTTTGTGATTAATTTGAATATGTCTATGGTTTTTTCCCTTAGTTTTGCATTTCGTTTACAAATTGCGATAAATAAATTGATAAAAAAAAATTCTAAAAATTACTTGCTTGCTTATTTGTGTTAGTTCTAATATGATTTGTAATGCTGGTACTGTGTTTCTAGTTCTTAGCAGAATGGTCGAGCATCTACAAAAACATTTATTGTTTGTATGATGTACATGCTAAGCTACTGTTAGTTAGCAATTTTTGTTTCAGCCTTACCACTGCTTTTGCTATTACAGAAGGATAATAATGTTGTTTATTTGTTAAAATTCCTTTTTCAGTGGGTTGAGACCTATAAGTTATCTAGCCTGGTTTTGCTGTTGTATATATATATATTTTTAATGTTAAAATATATTGTATTATGCCTTTCAGGATAATGAACCGTTAATGAGGTCACTGTCAAAGCTAGTCAATCTTAACAATCCAGATCTTGTCCTGTTTGTTGGAGAGGCACTTGTTGGAAATGATGTTGTTGATCAGCTTTCAAAGTTTAATCAAGTTTGAGCTCCATATTCATGGTTTTTTCTAGTATTGTCCAATTAGGGTTTGTTTGTTGGTCTCCATTTCTCTTGAAAACTCTTCAGATATATGGTTTTTGCTAAGTTGCTTATTGGGTTTCTAATTTATATATATACATATATATTTGAATTTCAGGGATCAATTTGGCCATTGGGCTTTTTGACGAAGTAATGCTCTATGCTACGAAATCGTATGTTGGCTGATCCTTCCTTTCTTTTTAAAGTTGGGACAGAGGTTTGTTATCGTGATCTTTCTTTTTGGTAAATAATGTTTTGGGTAAATGGCCAAAAACCCCCTGGACTATTTCGACTGTCGAAATGTCCACTCTGGAATATTTTTTCAGCCAATTTAGCATTTGTATTAAATTTAATCGCCAATTTCACCCCTGCCGTTAGGTTTTCCCCAATACCATCCAAATGCCAGTCAAAAAAACCACGTGAGAGGCACGTGAGTCCTCTGTTGAGGGTAATAAGCTTCTCTCTCTCTCTCTCTCTCTCTCTCTCTCTCTCTCTCTCTCTCTCTCTCTCCAGACTCTTCCCTCAGTTTCTCTCTCTAGAAAGTCAGGTCGTATTACAAGAGCGGGTTTTGTTTGCAATCTTTTATATTTCAGTTGCTGTTGTTGGTTGCAATTATTTCTCACATTTAAAGTCTCTCTCTTTGTCTTTCTCTTTCATTTCCTCCTCTCTCTAAAATTGGCTCTCTACCCACTTCCTCTATTCTGATAACCTTCACAAAGATGCTTGCTTTATGCAAGGCCGTGAACTGAGCTGCCTGCTCTCTCTTTTCTGTGCCCATTCTGTGTGCTGTAATTTGGCCTTTTCTTTTGTTCATGCATTTTGTTTCAATCTTGTTTGGTTTCATTGAATCCAAGCTTGATCTGAGAAACGAAAGCTCTTTGGGGTCGTGCGATTGGAGAGCTTTCTTGTTGGATTTGGGGATATGGGAGTGTGATCATTGTTGTGTAGATACAGCTGCACCAAAATGGATTCAGTTGCATCCTCAACTTGTGATACTCACAAGTGCACGAGCCGTTCGGTAGT